ATTGGCTCAGGGTATGGAATGTGCCTGGAGCTCGGAGCCTGCCCGAGCCATCCAGTGGGCACCCCAGTACTGTCCACAAGCATTGCCTGAGAGATGGTCCTCACAGGGCAGACCTCAGTTGGAGCAGAGCTCTGTACAGTGCTAATAGCAGCAATAAATTGGTTTGTTTTCCCTCATTTTGCTTTTGCAGAGTCCTTGTGAGCCCTCGGCAGAACTTGACTCGCATCACATTGAAAGGAACTTTCCAGGGGGCTAAAGTAGTGCGTGGCCCTGACTGGGAGTGGGGCAACCAGGATGGTAAGCTGCTTTTGGCATGTCCTCTCAAACACCATTTGATTTGTTTTCTTTAATGTATTGTTTTCTTTTTGACAAATTGCTGGTTGGAAATGCCTGTGCTGAGCAGCAGCTTCTAGGGGAGCTGTGGAGATGATGGAGGTTGCTGTTCTGTAGAGTATTAAGTATTCCTTGTTTTCTCCTCTCTGTTATTTGTCACATATCTGTGACATAAACCATATGCATTCATTCAGGGTGTGGGAGGGAAGTTTTGCTGCTCCTGTTTCATAGATGTGAAAACTCCTGGGAGACATCCTTGAAGTTCTTGTGTAGAACTGTGAATGTACATCATATTACAGGAGAATAGACTCATCTTTTCCTGAAAAAGCTTCTGTTTGCAGTGGGAATAAGGGCTGTCTTTGTGGACAGCACTCCTTTTCCCTTTGGAGTTCTGGGGAATATCCGTATTTGGACACTTGAGAGCAGTGAGGAGAAATGGTTTGCAGGGAGAGTTTCATGTGGAACATTAGTGAAGAGCTGTTTGCTGTGGTTGCTGCAGAATGGTTTCTGCTTCCTCTCTTAATTGTAACTTCAGGCTGAAAATGCACAGGGCAAAAATGCCTTTTCTAGAGCTGCTCTTGTGGTGTAATGACTGTGTCTAATTCACTGATACCAATTTCTGTGTAGTGCTACAGGCTGAAGGAAACTGCACTGTCTGTTTCTATTCCAGTGCCCTGTACACACTGTAATGTTTACAGCTGCTTTTTTCCCCCCTTAAGAATTAAGTCATAAGTTCAAAGGTTTCCAAAGTTGACTCTGCCATTTATTGCAGCTCTGGATTCAGTGTGGGGCATGGATACTTGCCGGGTCTGAGAGCAAAAGCAGCTTATGCTCAATACAGCTTATCCATCCTTTTGAGATCAGATCAACATTTACATGTCTGAGACTTGTGCTGCTCACGATGGTGGTGACCTGAAAGGAGTTATGTGGGCAAGGCAAGTGAGAAGAGCCATGAGGCCAAGCCACTAGCTGGTCTCTAACGAGTGATGCCTTGATTTTGGTGGAGCTGCTCCCATCCACAGCCATTTGGTGTTCTTGTCAGTTCCATCAATGCCAGTAAGGCCCACGAGTTTGTATCGTGCTTTCTGGTCAGATGTGCAGTTAGATGAAGTTAATCCTTTAAACTGTCAAGTTCCAAGACTTTGCAGGCAATTAGGAGCTCAGTCAGTGAGACAGACAGATGTTGCTGTCGCAGTTTGGGAAAGCACTAGGCTTGCCCAAGTGCCCAGAGTGACTCCACAGCAGAGAGATGAGGAATCTGCAGATTCTTACTGCCTTCATGAGGTTCAGTGTTGATATTTGTTGCCTCTTGGATGAGAGCATGTCCCATGTGCCCAGGCAGATTTACCTTCACACGTACATCCTCCTGCTCTGGGTTGTTTCTGTGGTGTTTCTCCTTGCTTGGGTGGGTGCAAGAAAAGTACCAGAACAAAGTGTATTTGGTGTTTCTCTGCTTGGCTGGTGTTGGGGAGAGGTTAAAGATCTTGGGTGGATTGGACAGCACTGCTGTGTTTTTTGTCTTGCCACAGTGTGGTGCCATGACACTGTGTGTTCCCAGGCTAGGCCATTCTGTACACCACCAGGAATTCCATACAGCATTCAGCTTTTCCATATTTGCATTCCAAAGTAGATGCCTGGCTGGCTCTCAGGGAGCTTAACACAGAGATTCTCTCCTAGTTGGTCAAAGGGAGTTGTGTCGTGGTTTAATTTTCCTCATTTTTCCTTTTTCCTGCTCTTTCCCATCAGGTGGTGAAGGTAAAATTGGCCGAGTGATGGACATCCGTGGCTGGGATGTGGAGACAGGTCGCAGTGTGGCCAGTGTCACGTGGTCTGATGGCACCACAAACGTCTACAGGGTGGGACACAAGGGCAAGGTGGACCTCAAATGTACTGTGGAGGCATCTGGGGGCTTTTACTACAAGGAGCATCTCCCAAAATTAGGTGTGTAAAGATGTTTGTTCTTGAGGAGTTCTGGCTCATGCTGCCATGTGGTGATGCTAAGGCCATTTTGCTTGGAAGACACAAAATCAGCAGGTGGTTTTATAAAGTTCCCACATAATGGGTGCTGTTTAAGAGCAGAGGTCTGTGTGTGAACACACTGCTTGATTTCAGAGTGGTCAGTGAATTAGTTTGGCCTTTCAGGACCGAGATGGTGGGGAAACCACCAGATGCTCACAGCTGTGTCCCAAGGAGGGATCTCCTGCCAAGGCAGCTCCTTGCTGGAAACTCCCACTCTGTGGCAGTTTTGTCAATCCAAAGTTTTTTGTTCTTCAGGCAAGCAATGGTCTAACTGTGCTTTTAGAGAGCAAATATTACCATTCTGGTTGACCCAGAAGTGTACTGAAGGGGAGTGTGACCAAAGGGAGATCTTTGAGAATGGACCTGCCAAATACTTGCCCAGCAGAGAGACTGGAAAAAGTAATGGGAAAAGGTGATGTCTGTATTGACAACTTGCTGCAATCCAGCTTTGCTCTTAAGTCTAATGAAGCTACTTGTGGTTTTGGACTTGTAGCAACTTAATGAGGTGCAGGGGCATCTTGCTGCCCTGCAGGAAAGCAGAGAGCTCTGTTCTTGTGTTTTCAGCAGCAGAATGAGGTCCTTCTCATTCTTTTCTCCCCCCTGAGCAGCTTGGCAGGAGCCTGAGGGAAGGGTTGGATGGGGAGTTGTTTTCCAGGGCTGGCAGGGTGGGAGGGAAAGGCTCTCCTCAATGCAAGCTATGTGGCTGCCTGGGGAGGAGAACTAATTTTGGGCACTGTGTGGGTGTGTCTGCTGAACAACAGTTGTGGGTGACTGGATTGCTAAGAACAGCTCCTGGTGTCTGCCATGACAGGAGAGACCTCGTTCCAAGGCATTCCCTGCTCTGGGAAGGGGCAGATTGTGTCTCGTTAAAATGCCTCATGTTTGATTCATATCAATATCCAGTGAGAGTGAAATCCTCTTGATTTCTCTACATAGTGGTGCTGTGTAGAGTGCAGAGCATCCTCCACAACAGACAAGGGGTTTTGCACACTTCTGCCCCAATTAACATTATTTTGCAACCCTCGTTACAAAGCCAATGAGACTCAGAGTGTGTTATTGCATCCCTCATGTCTGGGGGTGTTGTCATCCTCCTCCTCCTCAGGCAAACCAGCTGAACTGCAGAGGAAGGAGAGCACAGACAGACATCCCTTCCAGCACGGGGACAAGGTGAAGTGCCTGCTGGACATTGACATCTTGAGAGAGATGCAGGAAGGCCACGGAGGCTGGAACCCCAAAATGGCTGAGGTATGGCTCTGCTTCTCTCTGTGGAGCATCACTCACCATCTGCAGCAGCAGGCACTGGCTAGGAAGTTACCAGAACATCTTTGTGTAATGATATATGGAGCTGAGTGAATCACAAATACGAATTATTTAGTGATAGGACCCGAGCCAGATTTATTTTTAGGCTCAGATAAATCAGTGTGCCATGAGAATTGCCTCTGATTGTTGCTCAGAAGCTTTGGAAGTCACTGCAAAGAAATAATGCCTGGTTTGTTTGTTTTTAACAGATCTCTGGAGTTCTGGAGCCATTCCTTGTTTGGCTCCTTTTGTGCTGTGCATTACTGCTAATGAAAGTTAGGTGTTTTGTCAACACTGAGCCTATCCCTGGCCAGGGCTAAAACTTCTCAGCCCATATGATATCCTTGGAGCTCAGCCTAGTGTCTTGTCTTTAGATTGAGGAGTTATCAGTCACCTGTTGTCTAAAAATCCCAGATTGTAGAGGAAGTAGAGCTAGAAATGACACCAATTACTGCAGAATAGCACCAGGCAGTGCCATAAAATTGATTCTATACATTATATATCTATCCTGGCCCTGCAGTTGAACAGACTTTTTGAAATCAGACTTGAAAATGTCAAGACAAACTATGTCATTTCAGTTTCCATGTGGAAATCTGTTAACTGAGCATCAGCCTCTGATGTTTTTCAGCCTGGCAGGGACTTGGCATCTTCTGGCATGAACTTTAAGGCTGCCAGTGGAGCCATGAATTTTTTATTCCAGCTAAGACCTCGCCCAAAGTTCCAGTGTTGGAAAGATGCTGTGAGGCTAACAGAGGCTGTTAGACCTCTGCACTTCTGAGTTCTTGTTATTGGGGAATACAGGTGTGGAGAAGGATATTAAACAGAAATGGAAACTTTCTCTCATCCGAGAAATTAGTGCTTTTTGCCTCTTTCTAAACTATGAGGTGCTCAGGACCTGCCAGAATCAACAGATCTAGGCTACTACACAGCTGTACTTTGTTTTCTGTAGTCTCCTCTACATGTGCCCCTTTTTTCTTCCTCTCAGAGTGTGCCTTGCTGGGATCATAATGCAGAACAACATTGTCATCTCTGCCCACCTTTGTCATTTGGAGAGAGGACAATTTGTGCTGCATTTTCAGGGATTTTTGCACTTTGTATTCCTATCACCCTCCTCCTCCAATATGCTGCTACTTTAAAGGAGTCTCTTAAGGAGCTTTTCCCTCTTTTTGTGGAAAAACAATGTCTGTATCTCATTTAAAGTAGGTTTGGGAGCAGTGTTAGTCTGTGGGTTGGAAACAGCCAATTTATGCATTGAATGCCTGATTTCCCCACTGTTAATGTCATTTATTTAGGGGCTTTCCCCTGCTCTTTTTTTTCCCTCTCTCCAAAGTTCATTGGCCAGACAGGGACTGTGCACAGGATCACAGACAGAGGGGACGTGAGGGTCCAGTTCAACAGTGAAACCCGCTGGACTTTCCACCCTGGAGCTCTCACTAAGGTAAGTGCTGAGCTTGGCCAGAAGTGTTGCAGGGAAGAGCTGTCATTTAACCTGCTGTGTTAGGGCAGGATGTGTCTCAAGCAAGTGCTAAGGGAATTCCCTGCTGTTCTAAGCACAGTGGCTGTAGCCATCCGGGCTAGGGTAGGTGGTCACAGGCAGTGGGAGTTGGGCTGCTGAACTGTCCAGTTTTATGAAATCTTGCATTTCAGATGTTTTAAGTTCTCAAGGTAAATTCCCTTTCTGAATTTCAGCTTCTTTGGTAGGAGTGGTAACAGTAGATCTACAGCAGCTCATCCTTCTGCATCTTCCTTTCACCTGTGATGAACCTTTTTCCACCTGATTTCCATTTGATTCTGTTCTCTTCCTTGTCCTTGTGTCTTCATGTTATTCTCCTTTTTCCATCTGTGTCTGGCTTCTCTCTGATCCTTCTGAATGACCTGGAATCTTTAATCCAGCTCTTCTAATTTTGTGCCTGCATTTCTAGAGCTCACAGCTCTGGCTTTCCCCAGAGGTTTGAGGACTTGAAATGTGAATGATTAGAAACAGAGCTAATTAGGTATAGAAGAAGCTGCTGGAAGACCACAAAATTCTGATAGATCTGAGCAAGGTCACGATGCTAAAAACTCCCAATACCAATGGAAAATGCAGTGTCAGACTGTTTTGCACAGTTACTCTGCTTTGAAAAGTGTGTTTTGACAGTGCTGCCTTCTTAGCTCAGTGAGCAGAGGGAGCATCTGGCAAATGACCAGTACAGATAAACTCTGGTTTCCCTTTTCTGCTTTAAATAACAAACAGATTTAACTTCCTTATTAAAGTGAATTAAAATCTCCAGTGCCAAGTCAGGTGTAGTGAGGAGATGAACCAAGGAAAGTTCCATACTTTACACTGGTACTAATAATGAATAGTTTGAAGAAGAAAGAAAAGAAGAAAAGTGTCTGTTCCCAATTATTTCCCTACTTAAATGTGCACTTGGCTTAAAACAGAGTTACCCCAACCCTTGGCCTGTGTTTGTTTTGCAGTTCAGTGGTTACAGCTCTCTTGGTAGTCATGTTTTGTGTTGGAGTCAATGAGTGTCTCATGTGTTGGGTCTCTGGGGTTGGGCTGGGGTGGAGGGGCTGATCACTATTTTCTTTGTGGCTTCATCCCCCAAAAGCTTATGACTTTCTTTTTCTTGTAGCTCAACACCTTTTGGGTTGGTGATGTTGTCCGGGTGATAGATGATATGGAAACAGTGAAGCGGTTCCAACCTGGTCATGGGGAGTGGACAGATGAAATGGCACCTGTGAGTGTGCACCAGCTCCAGGAGAGACCAGTAACCTCCCCCTCAGCTTTCCCAGGCTATTAGCAATAGTGATGGCCTTGCACTGCCCCCAGTGCTGCTGCTCAGGCTTTGTGGGGCTGCTGGGGCCTTGGAGTCCCTCTTGCCTGGTGCTGTTGGCTCTTGGTGGTGCAGTCACAGCACCCAAAGCAAACAGGTGAATGGGGAATCTGACACAGGGTTTGGCTGCTAACAAGGCAGATAAGAGGTTTCACTAACCAAAGTAAACAAGGCCTCTTACACCCTCCCTAATTCTCTGGCATGAGGCAGGGAAGTGTGACAAATGGTCTGATCCAGACCAGTATGGCTAAAAAAGTGGGATACAGGTGTCCTCCAGGGGCAATTCAGTGCCCAGAGGAAACCTCTCCTTGTCCCAGTTTTATCAGTTCTCTCAGTGTTGTTCAAACCATGTTTTGTCATTCCACCATCTCCCTCCCCAGACATTTATCATGTGTCTGGGAAACCCTTCTGTGTAAAACCAGTGAGAGAAACTCGTGAGAACCCTCTGGTGTCCTCCAAGTGGGAGTTGTCTGCGAGTGTGTCACTGTCCAGTGCTTCTCTTCACACAGCAGGACTGCAGCTTGTGGGACCACTCTTAGAAACATTGATTTGGGCCTGAGCTACCCTGCAGCTCACCTGATTTTTTTTTTCCCTTGCAGACCCTGGGGCACATTGGCAAGGTGATCAAGGTCTATGGGGACGGAGATCTGCGTGTCTCGGTGGGAGGGCAGTCCTGGACCTTCAACCCAGCTTGCCTGACAGCCTACCAGAGGGATGAGGAAGCAAACCTCATGACCACAGAGAATGCAAAGGAATCAAAAAGTGAGAGAGATGTCTGATCCTTCAGGGTCTGGGAACTCTTTGCTGCAACTCTTTGGATAGTGTGAAACTCCAGCTACCTCTTCTTCCCTGGGCAGAGCTCCAAAAACAACCTGTGCCTTACTGGGCAGGCAGAGCTGGCCCTAACAGAACCACAGAATCAGGCTGGAAGGGACCACAGTGGGTCATCTGGTCCAACCTCCCTGCTCAGCAAGGTCATCCCAGAGCACATGGCACAGGTTGTGTCCAGTTGGTTCTTGAATCTCTTCAGTGACAGGAGAATGCAGAGTTTAGGATCCAGAAATGCTAACCATAGCACTGCCCTAGGTTCAGTATTTGCCTCTGCCTTGTTCTGCCTCAATTCCTGTTCCATCCTGTTCCCTGTACAAGGATACTAATTCTTGAAGGCTTGTGAAATAGTCCTAGGACTGTGCGTGGAAGTGTTGTGAAATCCCCAGTTCTTTTGCCCAGTCCACCCTGAAATCAAGTTTGGGATCACATGATGAGTCGAGGGGATTTTGCCTGTGTTGCACATCTGCTCATAAATTTTTTTCATAGCCTCACCATACTGATCTCCTTTAGATGTCAGGATCATGTGGGAGACAGGACACACTTGCCAGGGCTTTTGTTTTGCTGTGTAGATGGATCTTGAGCTGTTTGCTCAAGATAGACTCAGGGAGAACTTGAATGTGAGCCCAAACTTTTCTACTTTGTCTGGGGACTTCTGACACTTCTGTCCCCTCAAGCACTCAAAAGTGTGTAGTTTCAGGTCCATTCTGTTTCTCATCCAGGTACTTTGGTGACTGTGCTGGAGAAATTGCTGTCCCAGAAGTCGGAGTCGGAGTACGCAGGGTGCCTGGTCATCTGTGCTGCCCTCAACAATGCAGCCAAGGTCAGGGAGCTCCTGCAGAAATACCCAGACAAGGCAAGTTCTGAACACATCCTGAGTGGTTCCTTTCTGTTGCCTTTCTTTAAAATACTCTCATCAAATTTTCCAGTCAAGTAGAGGAAAAAAGAGAACAGATTTTTTTCATACCTAGTAATAGTTCCTAACAGCGGGTTGTTTTGCTGCAGTTCAGGATTAAATTGGTATGTTAAATGTGCATATTTTGTGGCATTAAATCTGAGCTAGAGTTAAGTCCTTCCAGCACTGTTCCAAAGCTGGCTTTGCCCAGATTTTCTGTGTGGACACTGCACCTGTAGAATCAGGGTCAGAGGTGTTTATCTGTGTGAAAACAGGAACACAAACCCTAGTATCAGCCTGTTGGAGAACGAAACCATGGGTTGTGTCTGGCTGACTGTGTCTGTCCTTAGGTGACCTTACAAAAATCATATTGTTGGAATCAGGAAAGAGCAAAGCTGCCCAGATCTGTGCAGTGTCTTATCTCATGTCTGACTGGAGCAGAGAACTGGGCTTGACTTGTTGCTGAACAATTTATGTGCTTGCACAGTGCCAAACTGTTAGGATCACATCCACTGAAAGCACTGCTCAGGATCCTTCAGGGAGGGGCTCAGGGTTTAGAAACAGGTTAAAAGGAGAAGAACCAGGGAACAAAGTGTTTGAGTTGTGTCCTTGGAAACTACTGGGAACAGAAAGAGATTTTCTTGAGGCTGTGTCCCTATGGCTGGCAGGGGCAGGGGGTGTGTGAACCAGGAAAACTGGGATCAATTCTGAAGGTGCAGATGATTCAGTGGTCACTTGTCTGGTGTTTATTATAGTTCTTTATTTACAAAGTTAATGGGATCTCTGGAGATGGGAGGAATAGACAAACACCTGCAATTGTCAAATTGCTCCCAGATAAGAAAGTGCCAAGAGTAAGGAATCCATTATGTGATTAGCTGTTTGATTAGATTTCTATTTCTATTTTAATACTTACGTTAATGAAGTAGTGATTTCTGTTGGAGCTGTACCCAGCAAGGGGAGGCTGGATTTCAGGCTAAGTGCAGGCTGGAATTGCTTGCCAAGGCCTTCCCAGCTTAGCAGCATCATCAGTCCTGTGTAAATGGAATAGCACAGTGGCCTCTGATGCCTCCTTGCCTAAATGACTCGTCCATCATTTGGAGTGTCAGGGAAGTCCTGCTCTGAGTGCTGCACAGATCCAGCTGCAGGGAGCAAAACTTGCTCATTAACTTGCTCTCCTTGCCAGTCTGCTAAGGTTTTCCTAGCTCCTTCATCTTTTCTCCTTAGCCTGATTCCAATAGCGACTTGCTCTCCTTGCCAGTCTGCTAAGGCTTTCCTAGCTCCTTCATCTGTTCTTCTTAGCCTGATTCCAATAGCTTCTTTTCCTGTTTTTCCCCTTGCCTGCCATGCAGCCCTCTCCTTGTTCTTCAGTCCCTTTAACTCCCAGTAAATCTCACTGCAGCACTTGAGCACTGTGACATCCCCTCCAGCCACTGCACCCAGTACCTGCAGTATCACAGAACAATGGGGACTTGGCACCTTCAAAGCCTTATGCAAAGCTAATTTGATTTCCTCACACATTTTCCTATTGGGAAAGGGATTGTTGGCAGAGATGTCAAGAAGAGTTGTGCTTGCAGGCATAGAGCAGTTTGGCAGGAGAGCTGCAATTACAGCCCTGGCTTCCAGCTCTGTCTTCTTCGCTGAGTGTGCTGTCCCCTTCCCCCTCAGAAGTGTTCTGGGACAAGGTCAGCTTGGAGTGGATGTACATAAAGCAGTGCCAACAGGGCACAGATTCTGCTTGGCATTTCTGAGCCTGCAGCTGTTCCACAGCTGGTGGTTTCCATCCTGCTCAGGCTGCTCTGGAGCAGAGCTCAGGCCTGAGCACAAGGCAAGGTCGGTGCTAATTTGCTGTGTCTCTGCCCTTCCCTTAGGTGGATGTGAAGAACCAGGGGAGAACTGCCCTGCAGATTGCCTCCTACCAGGGGCACCTGGAGGTGGTGAAGACTTTGCTGCAGGCACATGCCAATGTCAACCTGAGGGACGACGAGGGGGACACGGCGCTGCACTATGCAGCTTTTGGGTAGGGCACCTTTCTTCTTGCTCTCTCTGATGCAAGCCCTAAAGGGCTGCAAAGCTGATGGTCTAGATAGAAATGGACAGTGTGTGTGAAGGATGTGTGGCTGGTGGGGGATTTTCTCTGATTTTATGTTAGAAGTTAGCCTTTGAGCTTCAGACCACAGGAGATTTCTAACCTCCACAGGGATTTCGGGGGGAATCGGGACAAGTGATAAAGGGGTTTTGGTGATTGAATTTTATTTTTCTCCTAGGGAATGGGGGTTGGTTTGGTTGGTTGGGATTAGCTTGGTTGGTTTTTATAAGGGCATGTGGTTTCCAGGGTTGGTTTCTATAAGTGCAGGTGTTTTCCAGGGTTCTAGTGTCAGCTATCAGTGAAGAACTCATCAGGAAGAGTGGGAGATTGCTGCTGATTTAGAGCACAGGCAGAGGAGATTCTAGAGGGCAAATTAGGAAGGTTTTGTTGTGTGGTTTGTTTCTTTTATAATGCTAAGAGAGTGTGGAGTGAAGTCAAGAGGATACAAAACTCAAGAAGTTCTGCTGCCTTGCCAGGAGAAGGAATTTACTGTCTGCACAGGATTGAATCTTAACTCGTTTCACTCCTTGCTTTTGGATCAGAAACCAGGCTGAGGTTGCTCGTGTGCTCATTGGGAAAGGAGCCAGTGCAGACCTGTTGAACAATGCAAAGTGCACAGCACTGTATGTCGCTGTCAGCCAAGGATTCACAGAGGTGGTGAGAGCCCTCTGTGAGCTCAACTGTGATGTCAACCTCCCAGTAAGTCTGGGGCTCAGGGGCAGGAGGGTGTGCTTGGCTTTGGGTTTGTTTCTTTTTCTGTTATTAGCATTTTCTGAGGTGGAGGTGCTGCTTTGTCTCACACCATTTGTTGCTTCATGGAATTTAAAGCTCATTCTCATAGAACCATAGTATGTGAAGGGATTGGAATGGAGTTTAGAGATCATCCAGCCCTAATGCCCTGCCCTGGGCAGGGACACCTCCCACCAGAGCAGGTTGCTCAAGGCTTCATCCAACCTGGAATGAACATTGCCAGGGTTGGGGCAGCCACTAATTCCCCGGGCAACCTGTGCCAGTGTCTCACCACCCTCACAGGCAAAACTTCTGCCTAAGATCTAATCTAAATTTCCCCTCTTTCCATTTATACCCATTATTCTCTTAAAACTCTCTGCTGTGCATTGCACAGGAGGTAATCCTTGACCTTCAGTACACTGAGATTTCAGGCCTGAGTCTGCCCAGCTCAATCCAGAAGCATTCTCTGCTGTGCTGGACTTGGGCTTCCACTGAGAGCTCCCCTGCTGCTCCTGTGTGTTGTGTCAAAGGCAGTTAGGAATGTTAATAGCTCAGCAGTTGGTTCCCTTTGATTTTCTGAGGTAGGTAACTTGTGTCCTGCTCTGGTGTCTGTGTGTAGGATGCCCAGGGAGACACTCCCCTGCATTATGCTATCACTGCAGACTACAAAGTTGTTATTGAGATCCTCACTGAGGTCCCCAACATAGACTTCACTGTCCAGAACTGTCAAGGCTTCAACCTGCTCCATTTTTCTGCTCTGAAAGGCAACAAGCTGTAAGTGACCTTTTCTTTCACTTTTATGGCTATCACAGATGTTGTGTTTACTGTTGTCGCAGTGAGCAAGTGGCAGAGGTAGTTCTGGAAAACTGGAAAGGAAATGGTTACACATTTCTTGGCTTAGATATGGCTGGGTATAGCTGTTGCCTCCTTCATTCCTTCACAGGGAACTCCTGCCTGCTTTCCCCATCCCATCTTTCTCACACCTCCCTAGCTTGGCTAGGGAATCTATCTCCTTCTGGACAGTCTCCTTAGATGTTTTGGTTCACACAAGGAAGGACAGGAGAAGGACTGTGCCTAGCTGAGTGTGTCTGGAACTCTTCCAAGGATAACTCTGCTCATTACTTTCCAAGCAGGGTGACTCTGCCCTACTTTATTAGATGATAGCTGAGAGCTTTTGTTGTATCCTTGTAATTCAGTCTGAGCTGGAGGCACTGCTCTGCATCACTGGTGTCAGCTCATGGTGCTGCCTGTTAAAACATGGACCTTCCTAACTCCTGAGCAGAAGAGACAGGCCTGACTCTTCTGCATTGCCTTCCTTCCTGATAAAGGAACTCTTCCATCTCTGTTAACCTCTAGAGCTATAAAGAAGATCCTGGCAAGAGCAAGGCAGCTGGTTGACTCCAAGAAGGAAGATGGTTTCACTGCTTTGCACCTTGCTGCCCTCAACAATCACATGGAAGTGGCAGAAATCCTCATCAAAGAGGTAAGAAAAAGCCAAAACCACCATGAGGAATAGCTGTCATGTGTCCCACTCCCATCAGCTCACCCTGCTGCGATTCCTCTCTTCAAGGGTCGCTGTGATGTCAACCTCAAAAACAACCGTAACCAGACCCCCCTGCACCTGGCTGTCATCCAGGGCCACGTGGCCATGGTGCAGCTGCTGGTCAGCGAGGGCAGTGATGTCAATGCTGAGGATGAGGATGGGGACACTGCCATGCACATCGCCCTGGAGCGGCAGCAGCTCATGTCTGTGGTGATGGAGAAGCGTGAAGGGGAGATGGGGCTGTCCCTCCTGTCCAAGGTGAGCTGGGAGAAGGAGAAACTCCAGCACCAAGGGCAGGAAAGTGCTTCATGGGGCAAAGGAAAGCAGAGAAACTGGGTAAAGCCAGTCCAGATGGAGAGTGTGGCAACAAACCTTGTGGGAAAGCAAGAATAGATCCTCTGAGGGGCTGCTTGAATTTATAGCCTGAAACTTGACATAGTCAGACAACAATTCCTACTGTCTTCCCTGATATTTTTATTAGCATTGTGTGCTTCTTTCCTGACATGGGAAAGGTCATGAATCTAGTGGTAGAGCCAAGAGTCTTGGGTTTAATTCATGCCCCAGAACCACAGCAATTCATTTCTGTCTGATGGCATGGAAAATATGAGCATAGCTAACCACAGACACCCCAGTTATCTGCAGATGCACAGCAGTGTGTGAGAGGTGAGATGGATCAGGCTGAAGGGTAAAGGCTAAGTTCTTACAAAGCCTGAACTGGATTTCATTCTGCTGCTCTGTATTCATGGATGTAAAGGCCTTAGATGTAGGAGTCAGTGCAGGATATGCCAAGGGTGTAGGGATAACTTAGTACACTGGAAACTCCAGCATAAATGTTTTTAGTTTAATTTGGAATGATCAGAATGAAACCACCCATTTCTCCCTGTTGGAAAAGCCTAGTGCATTGCTCTTCCATTCTGCTTGTTACCAAGCTACCTGACAGCATGAGGTGATGGCTCAAGTGCATGGCCAAAGATAGCCAGAAGCTTAGTGCTGGATGCAGAAAGCCTTGAAGAGGGATCTGTGCATGTCATTCCCAATATTATTTACAGTAACACCATATTTAGATGCTGGAGACTCTTCACATCTAATTTTACTTGCCCTGACCTACACACTCTGGTGCTTTTAAGTCAGTGGAAAATGTTTGTGGACTTCAAATTATTTTGCATCATCATCAAAATCTTGGCTTTTTGATTAGCTTAAGGACCAGCTGCTCATCAGTTGGTGTGTACTGTGGTGTCTTCAGCTTCTTCCTTTTCCCTGCCTGAAAAAGACAATGCCCATTACTATGCTCTGTAATGATTAGCACCAGTTAGGATCAGTCCTAGGCACTCTTGTCCCTGGAATGTGAGATTGACTGTTATTTACATGCTGAAGGATCTTTGTGTTTTCAAAAATGAATGCTAAATGGCACTTTCAAATAGTAAGTTGTGCTGGTTTTGGCTGGGACAGAGCTTATTTTCTTCATAGTGGCTACTACAGGGCTAACCACGTTGTCAAACCACGACATAAATACAGGGTGAGACTTTATTTAGAGTTTGATACAGATCAAGGCAGCATAGCAGAAACTTTCTTTGTTAAGAATTGTGTTTCTCCACCTCTTTTAGCTGCAGGCTTCTGGCTTCCTGGGAAATGTGGAGCTGAACGTTGGAAGTGCAATTGCCTGTTACTTAGCACAGGAAGGGGCAGATATTAATTATGCAAACCACCGGGGAAAGTCTCCTTTAGACCTCATCACAGATGGGAGGATTGTCCAGATTGTCAAAGACTTCTCACAGAAATTCAGGTAAGCTCTGGACACTGGTGGCAGTGAATTCCCTCCCTTGCAGAGTGCTCTGTGGTGTCCCAGCCTGCAGCTGTTCCAGGAGGGATGGAGCATCTCTGGAACATTTGGGTTATCAGTCTGAGCACCTCTTGGAGGTGGTGGCTGAGCTGGGATTACTAAAGGTGCTGTGCTGACACTTGAAAGAGCTGGGGAAAGCAGGTTCATGTTGCTGGGTGCAGACTTGGCCTCTGGACTCACAGATTTGCTGCTGAAGCCAAGAGCAACTTGTCTCTTGCAGGGTAATTCTGGGCTCTGTTGTGCTTTGATTGGATTCAGCAGTCAGAGATATTTAAAGCCTGAGCAGAGAGGAAGTGCAGCAAAAGAGTGAGCACTACAGTCTGCAGTTTATTCCAGAGCTAGAGAAATGCTTGTTGTTCAGCTGATAAGGCAAATAGCTGAGAAAATGCCAAAGACAGAGAACAGCAAGGCAAAGATGGATTTATCTTGGGTTCTGAGAAACGTCTGTTGGGATTGTGACTTTGCAAACAGGAAATCAGAGTCCTCTTTGATCTGAGGGCACAGGCTCAGTCCTGTTCTCCTGGAGCAGGAACCACCCAGCAGCACTGTAACTGGCCATGCTTCTGGTCCACTGCAAAACCCAGGTGAAATGTGACCCTTGAAACATCTTGCACGGGAATTTTGTCAGTGGAGCATATGTTGGATTAAGTTTTTTTTGCTTAAAGAAATGCCATTCTCATAGCTGGTTTCAGTGAATGTACTGTCAGTACCTCACTGTTGCCTCCAGAAGATCAGCTTCAACTTGTGTAAGTATTAGTCATCCTTGCTCTTTGCCTGTGTTTCAGACAGAACTAACCAGAATCCCAGCTGAGTTGTTCCCACTAGGGCAGTGAAGGGTCACAAGTTGATGCTGCCTGAGCACCTGCTGCTCTGTCTCCTGTGGAATGTTTGCCAGGGATCAGTGCAGTGTTATCCACTTTTATTGAAAAAGGACCTGGAGTGTGTGGCTCAAAGTTTGGCATGTTCCTGGTTGCAGGGAACGGCAGATCTCTTCAGATAGCTCAGCCATCACCTGCAGCCTTCGCCGCGTGCACACCACCCCCAACACAATGACCAACCTTAGTGTCTCCAGCGTGGCAGTGCCCACAGAGTGCCTGGTCTGCTCAGAGCTGGCCTTGCTCATCCACTTCTTTCCCTGCCAGCACAGTATTGTGTGTGAAGGTAAGTCCTTCTCATTCCTCTTCCCTTCTTTCTGTGTTTTCCCCACCAGCCTCCCCAGCATCTCATAAATCAAGCTCTCTTTAGGCACAGCTATTGTGCTATTGTGCCCTGAAACAACCCTCAGCATGATTTCAGCACCTCCAGCTTAGACAGGACAGCCAAAGTTAACTGTGAGGAGCACAGGATGTTCTGCCCACCTGCTGCTTGGGTCCTCAGGCAGCTTTGCTTGTGCCTATGGATGCCTGGATAATTCAGAAGGAAAACCAGATTCCTCAGTTGTAGCTGTCAGGATTTTATCTATCAAAAACCTCCTGAGAAGTATTTCCCTCTCCTCTGCCTTTCATTACTGTTTGCATTTCAGTTGTTTTAAGGGCAGCAAGTTTATCTCACAAGGCACTCCCAGTGACCACAGGGAATTTGATAAGGAATGTGTGCCAGAGCTGCCTCCTTTTTACTCAGAACTGTTCTGATCCACAGTGCAGCACAATTCCAGTGGCACAGAGCATGGAGGACTTAAAGGTCTTGTGTTTGCTACTGGCTTAGGAAAGACTAAACCAAGAGAGTAGGTCAATAAGCAGGTAGTGACCTCATTCCATGCAGAACAATCTCTTAATCATCCAGGGAGGCCTTAGGTTGTTCAAGGCTGATGTTCCTGAGTCTGTTGCTTTCTTCTTCATTCTGGCATCAGTGGGCTTAATTGCAATCTCTTCTTGTGTCATTCGTGGTAGAATGCTCCAGGAGGATGAAGAAGTGCATCAAATGTCAAGTGACAATAAAGGTAGTGACCTCATTCCATGCAGAACAATCTCTTAATCATCCAGGGAGGCCTTAGGTTGTTCAAGGCTGATGTTCCTGAGTCTGTTGCTTTCTTCTTCATTCTGGCATCAGTGGGCTTAATTGCAATCTCTTCTTGTGTCATTCGTGGTAGAATGCTCCAGGAGGATGAAGAAGTGCATCAAATGTCAAGTGACAATAACCAATGAAACAAGGGTTTTTGCTGATAAGTGCTGTGGGAAGGCTTAGTTTGAGGAGCAACAGTGATTTTCAGTGCAGTAAGATAAAGGATGTTGCTTTGTTTGGGGTTGTTTCGTGTGTGTTCATGTTGCATGGATCACCCTTAGGGAGGAAAAGGGACATTTTCTTAGGCAAAGCCAGAAATCCTCTTTGGAGCTCCATAATGCCCAAAATAGCACATTTAGCTGAGAGTGGACAGGAGCATTTATTTGTCTTTGCTACAGACTGGCAACAAAATAGTGATGAGAATTCCAAGTGAGACATTTGCAGGCAAATTCCCAATGGAGGAGGAACATCAAGGTCTCTGAAAATATCAGCAGGACTTCCCTAGCAGTGATGTCTTCAGTGCTTGCCTTTAGCAAGCTCCTTGTTCCCAAACCTGCTTCACCTTTGGATTGAAATCACTCCTTGCACCACTGCTGTGCAGCTAATTCCAGAATGCTGAGGAAAGGCACATCCACATTGAAGTGTGAAGGTACCTAACCAAAGATGAGGAGCAGAGGATGAGCTGTGTTAAGCTGAAACCAGGAGGAGTCTGTTGACCTAAGCTGTCAGCTGCACAGGATTTGGGGTTCTTTCCCTTCACACAGTGACCAAACAACTCTGTGTAGCTTCATGTACACAAAACTCAACAGAACTGATGTCAGATGGTTTCTTCTCATTTTACCATGTGTGTTCTGAAAGATTTAAGCAGAAATTGGAGTCCCAGATGTGAACTAGAGGCTGAGAGCACAGAGTGCTCGTAGCACTGTAAGGATTCCTGGACTAGAGTGGCAGAACATCACAACCAACTTTGAATGTCTTTACTGGAAGGTAGCAGCAGTGTGTACCAGAGCATTAAGGCAGGAGATCTCCAACATTTCATTTCCTTTAGAAAGAAAATCACCCAACAATCTCAAACACACACAAACCAGGTGAGCAACTACCTGGACACACTACAAAGCATCATCCCAGGCTTTTGGTTTGAGGAACCTCTGGCTAAAGCTCAGTGAAGAGAGTTGGCTGCTCTTGAGGGGCAGAGTCTGATGGGAGAGAGAGAGATGCTGTGAGACAGAACAGGGTGTGACTAACCCTTCCTGCTCTCCACCCCTGCAGACAGCACCGAGGTGGAGTGCAGCCCCAGCTCCGAGTCCACGGACCAGAGGAGGCTGATGGAGGAGCTGCAGAGCCGCTACAGGCAGATGGAGGAGCGAATCACCTGCCCCATTTGCATCGATGACCAAATCAAACTGGTCTTCCAGTGTGGCCATGGCTCTTGCCCAGACTGCAGCACAGCCCTCACTGTGTGCCCCATCTGTCGCCAGGCGATCCGGGAGAGGATTCACATCTTTGTCTAGGACGTGCTGCTTTCCCCTCCCATCCCCACCTCCCTCCTTTCCTTCCTTTCTGTTTGCATTGTAGATGAGAAGTGCTAGTCAGGCTGGTGTGTTTGGCTCCCTGCAAAGCCATCCTGGGGGAGAGGGAGGCAGTAACTCATGGCCCTTGGGTGGAGGTTGGAGGTGGAGTGGAGGGCAGGAGCCCCTCACCTGTGCTGCTCATCCATCACACACCCGAAGTAACCACACTGACCTGTCTCCTGGAGGCAGAAGAGGCTCTCAGAGCAGAGACTTGCCCGTGGAGGTGCTCCCAGTGGCATCCAGGACTGCACCATGCAGGACTTGCAGCGAGGAGAGGCCGTGGCAGGACACACCTTGCACCTCACACCTTGGCAGGCAGAGCATGTGCTTCACTTCACCCGAGGAAATCATCTCTGCCAGCTCCTGGCAGGGCGAGGGAGGTGATGTCCTAAGGCAGAGTCCTCTCTGAACCAGCACAGGCTCAAGCAGAGCTCAGGCTGAGAGGCAAAGCTGGATGGAATGAGGTCCTAAAGACAGAGCGTGTGCCTTAGAGATAAAGTAGTGAACACTGATTGGAGAAAATCTGTTGTTACAACAAATATTTCTAACCTCTAAGTGACACTCTTCTTCCACATTTCGTTATTTTTTTTTTGTTGTTGGCACAACTGTGTGTTCAGAGACTCCTGAGCTTTCTATCCATAATGCCAAAGGCAGGTGTGAAATACTCCAATCAAAGTGTAAAGAAAATAGATAGTAATAATTGAGGTGAGAGAGAGGAAAAAAAAAAGGGATTTCATTTTTGTTTCTTTGTTTTGCAGCAAAACTTAATAAAATAAAATATATATTTTCCTGAGCATTAAAATGAATGTACAAACAGTAGCTGAAATGTGGATCCAGCTGTATTGTGTTTTCCAGGTGAGTGAGGAAATATTACCCAGGGACTTACCCTGTGCAGTGGCTGTTGGGGGAAGTGTGGCCTGTGCTGCACACTCTGAGCTGTGTCTCTCTGGTGCCACAGTGATGCCCAAACATGCTGTTTGTTACCTAGTGCAAGCAATATTTAAACCAAACACAAAAATCCTGTGTTCCTCTACTCTCTTTGTTCCTCAGCAAAGAGGAGACAAATCCTTGAAAGGAGTTTTTAACTTGGTGGAATGTGTTGTTCCAGGTCTGTTTATTACTTTGTCATCCTATGGTGTGTTGGGAAAAGTGATGTCACAACCTCTGACTCTGTAGATAATATTGGGAAAAATATTCATTGTTAGAGTTTCAGTAGATTGGTTTTTTAGCTATGAAAATCCCTAAATTATTTGCTTAACACCCAAATAACCTAAAGGTGAGTTGCAGAATCAGCTTTGGTGTAAAAATCAGAGGTGCTGATACTCATTTACTTATTCCCTAGAAGTTCATGTTGATGGAAATTCCTTTGGCTAAGCCAGACAGTTCCCCAGAATATTTGCTGTGCTGTGCAAAAGCTGACAAAGGTACAAATCTGAGCCATCTTGATCCTGTAACAGCTGCTTTAACCACATTTGGGGCAAGTGAATCATTTCCTAGCCCCATGCTAAGCATTCTTAAAGTATATTTCTTTCACAACCCTCTACATCAACCCCAGAGCAGTTTGCTGAGGGTAACCCTGAGGTTTCATCATGTGTTATGTGTGTGTGTCCTGCACTGGGGGAGAGGGGACAGAGGTGGTTCAGTATCTCTTGTGTTATTCTCATCTCTTGCACCAAAGGTGTCATTTTCTTGAGGACAAAGAACATAGAGCATCTGCTTAATTTCTTTTCCTAATTTCTTTGAGTACTAAATGAAGAGAAGAAGCTTCCAAGAGGTTATTTTCCCTGAAGGGAAAGAAGTGGCAGGAACACTGCAGCCTTTGCCTTCCAAGCTGTGCAGCTGTGGCAGAAAGTGGAGGTTGTTTTAAATACCTTTTATTCTTCCTGGCTGATGAAAAGAGGTTTTGTAGAGAGAGAAGAATCTTATGTTTTCACTTTTTAAAACTCAAGTTGCATTGCAAGATCTCCTGAGCTTGTTTTCATGTCTGAAAGTCATTGTGTGGCTGAGTTAGAGAAGTTTTGCACATCACAACTTACCTGCCAAAAGACTCAGGAATGGTTTGTAATTGTAGAGTTTGCTCTGGGAGTGTATTCTCTTATGTCCTGTTGTATGTTCCCTTTTATTTTCCTGCTGTCATTGCTTCTGAGGAGCAAGAGTTGAGCTGCTAAGCAGCACTAACCCTTTCATTCCCCAGCAAGAAGAAGGGAGTTGCTCCAGTCCCAGAGAGAAGAGCTGAGCTGCTCTGTGGAGCCCCAGGAACAGGAGAGCCCAAGGCAATCAGGTGCCCCAGTGTGCCCAGTATGGTTTTGGCAAGCTTTGCCCCACTCCAGGCTCAGCTCTGTGGGAAACTGAGGCTTTGGAGGAGGGAAGAAAGTTCTGTTTTATTTTCCTTGATGAGCCTGTGTGAAATTTAGCTGGAGAATATGAGATGGGAAAGGTGGGGGAAGATGTTCCTCTTGTTTTGCTGCTGGTTGGTTTTGTTGCTGGTTATCAGAACAGCAAAGGGCTGAAGGGAGGAAAGGAGATGCCAGAGCAGTAAACACTCTTTGAAAGACAAATATTGTCACTAATTAATTAGTGTGGATAGTGAGTAACTTTGTGCTTGATGTTTATTACCCATTGTCTCCCAGGAACAAGCTGTGGAGCTCCTGGTTTCACTGGTGTTTCTGCCATGTCCTGGGTGCCCTATAGCATTGGGTTGAAAGGGAAGGATATTCCTGAGGTTTTCTGGTGTAGAACTTTAAATATCTCATCCTTGGGATCAGTCTTTCTAAAGCTTTTCCTCTGATGGTATGGCCAAATCTCTCTGTTTTATAGGCAGTGTGAGACAGGGAGTAGAGAGAAGGAAATTGTGTTGAAAGGCAGAGTCAGGTAAAGAATCCACCTCTCCTTTGGTTATGTTTGCTGCTGCTCCCAGGATTTTGGGAGGATTGGTCCATCCACAACTGGATTATAGGTTATTAACAGAGCAGTGCTAAAAGTACAGGGAAGCAATTCTTCTTCCATTGTGGATGCACTTTATGATCTCTGTTTTGAGGAAAATCTCCCTGATTTCATTCCTGACATTCTGCTCTCCACGTGGCCATGACTGAGCTGCTGAGCTCCTGCCTGGGGTCAAGACCACATCTCTTTGGTAACACAAGGTCAGGCCAGTGCAGGCACTTCTGAGCTGCAGCTCAAATTGACAGTTAAGCAAAATATTCCATTTTCCTTGCCAGCTGGAGCAAACCCTTGTTTTCAGCTCATTTGTTATTCACCAGACCATGGATTTTTCTAGGAACATCAGCAGATGCTGATCACAAGGGGCTGCAGGATAGAAAGTGGGAGAATGGTTGGGGACTAAGGAACATGTTTCTCCCTTCCCTGGAGAACGTTGCTCCCTGCTGCAGCAGATAGAATCTGTTTTTAGTCCATGACCCACTGCAAAAGTCCAAGCTTTAGCTGCCATTTCCACAGGAACCACACAAGAATGTTGGGTTGAGTTTTTTCCCCCCAAGTTGAGAGCTGAAGGGCTAAATCTGTAAGTGCTTTTTAAAGCAAGAGCCATAGGAGAGTTTCCTAATTCTTTTCACATGGGCCACCAAGGAGCTGATAGTGGTAAATCACACTCAGCCTTGTGCTCTCCCCTCCCTGGCCTGGGTTTGGAGCAGTGCCCTGGAGATGGAGCACTGATCCTTGAGCCATCAGACATGATCAGCTATCAGTTGTCCTTTCCCTGTCTTCACTATCTCCTGTAGAGCTCCCAGTTCACAGCAGGGGAAGCTAATGGGAGTGGTTTGTTCCAATGCTGAATAATAGGCATTTGTCCATGAGCTGAGTGTTTGGTGAGAGGTGAGGTTTGGGATGGTCAGACAGCTGCAGTTCCAGCACTGGTGGGTGTGCTCTCTGTCCAGCTCTGAGCAGACATATAGACTGGCTGTAATGGATTGTTCTTGTGCTGCTCTGGGGACTCGAGTGAAGCTGTGCCAGTGTCCTCCCTGGCTAGGGCTGGTCTCCTCTGACAGGGGCAAATGGAGCAGAGAGGCTGGAAATAACCTTTGATGTTAGCTATGCTGAGCAAATGGGAGAGGAACCCTAGGAATAATGCATGGAAGTGAGAATGTATTTGTTTCTGAGCTCAGCTTGGCCTGGGGAGTGGAGCCATATGTTGTGTGTTCCAGGGCAGCTCTGCTTTAACCAAAACATTTCAGCAGGGAAGAACAAAGCCACACCGAGGTGATTTAACCAGGGAAGTGTATTGGGCTGTGCAAATGATCCAGTGCTTTATGTTCTCCATAGTTGACCATTGTGAGGTTTATGCAGCTTGTTAGGCAACATTCCTTCCCTCCTGACAGCTGTTCCCAGCCTGCTGCTTCTGGGATCTCAGGATATGCATCCCTGACTGCTTGCTTGGAAAATCCCAGCTCCCTGCAAAGGTTCTGGGCACTGCTGCTGTCAGCATGGAGACAAGGCAAAGTCAGTTCTGTGCTCTGCCTTCCCTATCCCCATTACACCATATGGATTCCCTCAGTGTAATCTGTTCCGTTGCTTTTAGACACTGTGCACAAACCAAAGCCAGGAATGTTTTTCTGTCCAAATATAGTCAGGATGACAGTTCTTGCCTGGAGTCCAAACCAAATATCTGCACTGGAGAGAACCTGAGACCTCTCAGGCTCATCAGAACTCCAAAGGCACAGAGCAGTTCTCTGAGCTCGGACAGGAGCAGTTCTGCCAGGGCCTTGGGCTGCCTGATGGTGTGGGGAGTGTTTTCAGCAGTGGCACTGAGGGTTGTGGGCAGAGCCTGTGCTTGGTCAATCCTGAGGCACAGTGACATTAGCAGCAGCTCTCAGTGTGCACAGCTCTGTGTCCCCTTAG